AAATACCCCTTACACTTAGAAAAAAATTTTGACCCCATGAGCTATTTGATAATTACACAATGAAAAAATATGAAAATTCAAAATGTCCTTTAGACTTATGCCTTTTTTTATTTTTATTCTAAGGTCACGGGCGTAATTATACTACGCAACAAAATAAAAAAAATATTATTTCACTTATTCTATCTTATTTTTTAGTATCTTTAAAGGACAAATTAATTATTTTACTGTAAATTGTATTGTGAATAATTCATAATAAAATATTAATGCTTTTTAATTGCATGTTAAATTAATATGAAAAGAATAAGATATTCTCAAACGACAAATAAATTTAGTGAAAAGATCATTTTAACCCTAAAAAATAATCTTGATTGATTTCTTTTAAAGGTAAAAAATATCAATTCATTATATAATTCACAATGAATTAAGACATCTATATAGTAATTCCCCTTCCCCCCCACCCCACACACACGGCAGGTTATCTTAATAATCTCACCTGAACATATAGAACATAGTTTGGATCCACAACAAGTGCCTCATGTCATGTCCCAATACGAAACATCAAGCTCGCAATCATCAAACAAGCTCCTTCTTGTCAAAAGAAGAGCAGTGCCGCCTGAAGCAAAGAGCAAGCACATAGCGGCCTGTAGCAGCATTTCAACCAAACAAAAGTATGGCTAGTTTGACCAAGTGATGATCCGATCTCTATATGATCATGTAGCCGATAACATATCAAAAATCTAATCACAATCTAAGTTGATTTAACATTAATATACATGATCATGACAGGATTAACTTAATCTTATACATGGGTCCCTTATAAAGTTAGGTCAGAAAATCAGATAATGCTAAACGGACAGCAAAAGGAGGCAGAAGACTCGGTGGAGAAAAAAGAGATGGGAGTGGATATCCATCAATTTGCCATAGCCTTCAACCTTTTAATACTTTAATGCGCATTAAGAGAAAACAAAGGCCTGGATACAAAGTGCTTTAATGGTATCCAAAGTGCTAAAAGTAAGTGCAAGATTAATTATCAAAAGATCAGGAGCTAATTCACAGTTCATCACAAACATTATACAGCAAGAGATGAGCACCAAGTCTTAACTCCAAATCCAGAAGGATCAAAAACTTAATTAGTATATAACAACTGTAAAAAGTTCATTAATATTCAACTCAAGCTTCAATCTCAAACCTTGGACACTTGATGGAGCCCATTGATATGTCTATCTCAATCAAATTTTCTTCCTCGTTCATCTCATTTAGTTCTGCCAGAAGCTCCATTAGACCGTGCTGTTTGAAAAATGATCCTGGTGCAAAATCTGGCAATTTTTTCTGCAGATTATAGTTGACCTCATCTTCCTCATGATCACAAATGTAATGTCCACCTGGAAGGGAGATTTCAATGAGGCTATCCTCGTCAGAAATAGATCCGTCAGAGCAATCTCGGCTCTGAAACATTTTGTCTTGGAACAGCCATTCCACTTCTGAGTCCTCACTAGTTGATGAGCGACCAAGACAGTCACTTTCTGATGTTATAACTTGAGATGATCTAACCAAATACGCATCAACCTGACCTCCTCCTCCTCCTCCTTCTTCATCATCTTCTTCTTCTTCTTCTGCGATGAATTCCTTTTCGAGCACAAGTGGTTTAGATATAACATCTTTTATGTAAGGTGAAGTGCTTGCCTGATCTGGCATGACAATCTCATCTGTCACTGATTTCTGCACTTGTGTTTGTTTTTGCTTTGAGAAAGTCAAGATAAGACTAGATAAAATTAACGCTGTTGATGTGAGAAAGATTGACAAGAGCCCATATCCAAGAAAACCAGCAAGAATCAATACTGGAGCAAGAGCAAACATCAAAGGTAGTACAAGTGAGAATATTTTGAAGAAACACAAAGGAGAAGCCATTTGTTCCAAGACTTTGTTTTGCAACTTCATGAACTTAAGGAGCTCCTTGTTCAGCTTATTTCATCAGAAAGAATTTACAAAGAAGATAATTTGCACCTCTATAAATTGACACTGTAAGATATGCAAATTAACGAGATTAATGGGAGATAGATTAATAGACGGATGGAAAAAAGCTGATCTTTATGGGGAGAGATATGAGAAATGAAACTATATATGATCTAGATCCACGAAAAAAACGTAGCAGAAAAGCAGTTTATCAATTCTAGCTCCAGTGCTGAAAAATGAGTCTGCTAGCTGATAGATTGGGAGAATATAGTGGAACTTAGAGAGCATGACAGTAGTCTTAAGCCTCACCAGTGCCGTTGAAATCAAAGAAGACAGACTGCTAAAAGAAGAAGGTTTTGAATATGAGGATTGAAGAAAGATTGCAGATTATAAAATATGACTGCCAAAGCAAGTATGAACAAGAAGAAATGAATCAATGAGAGCTGTACTGTGATTATAGATTTGAGGAGCAGATAATACCTGAACTGGTTTGCAAAAATGAAGCAAGTGATCAAGAACTAAAAGAAAAAGATTTTAATATTTTCTTCTTATATCAACCTGATGAGAATTACACGCTTGCTTCTCACTTCTCTACAGACTCACAGTTCTCAAGTGCCCCTTGCTCCTAATAAACAGGTTTTTTATTTTCCTCCTCAGCTAACCACAATCAGGTGGTGTTCCTCTGCAACTGATTCTCTTGAAAAAAAGCACAAAACCCCAGGTTTTGCAGTATTGATTAACAGTCTTAGAGCATGGATATTAGAGAAGCCATGTGCTCACATCTGTGCTCACCACATGGCATTTGACCTCTAACTTCAAGGAGAAAAAACCATAATTAAAAGGAAGAAAAACCCAGAACCCAACACAGGTCATCTATTTTATTACATTTCGCCTTCAGCCATATCCCTGCTACCCAAAAACCCTATTTATCAGAACCTTACATGAAAGCTTCAGGTGAAGAACGAAGGAAACATTACCAATAACATATTTGGCGCTCCTTAATATTATCTTCAAGTCGATAAGCAGGTGACCGAAACTTCCTTTGTCCCTGAAGATTAATCTCTGAAACAGTACCCAAAAAAAAAAAAAAAAAGAAAACACCAACTTTTCCTAAAGAAACAACAGTAATTTTACGCTCCTCTATGGCACAACCACATTACTCTGAAACATCTTCATATGGAGGACCAAGCCGAGATCATCTAGCTTAAATTAAATTCAGAAATTTTTATTTTTTATCCAAATGGCTTCAAAATCTAATCTACATTGAGTCACAAAAGACTAGCATTGACATGCCTACCGATGTACCACCTATTTGAATCCGTATTATATAAGTAAAATACTCCTAAAGTCTACACAAAGGCTACAAACTGAAGAGGATAGCGGTTTTTTTTTTTTTTCCCATTATCCTTTAAAAAATAAATGTGCAAGAAGCAAGTAGTGGTGGAATATTCGAAAAAACTTGGTCCAAGTTTTTAAATATTTTCAAATTAATCTACGTGTTTGACTTAAAAAACCATATTTTCAAATTTTTAAATTAATATAGTGATATTGATCAATTCAGATAGAAAAAGTTTGATAACATGATTCAATGTCTTCTCTTTTTAAATATAATTGAAGCATAATACGGTGACAAGTATTTGGCGGTGTTCCTGGTCGTGTGAGGGTCTACTCCTGAGTTCATTTCTAGTTTCTGCTTTTAAATTCTCTTCTCACAGAATGTGCCTCTAATGATGCCTTCAAGTTTGCTTTAAGTATATGGGCCACCAACGTGCCTCCACCTACCAAAACTTCCAACCCCACTCTCACTGAAGCCAGTGCAAAGCAGTGCCGGTGGACG